TGTGCTAATCATATGAACCATAGTCACAAAGGATCCAAGAACCATTCCAAACGTCAGACAGAAAAATGATCAGAACTCACAGCCGCTCACAGCAACTTGGAAGGGTTGAGCCCTTTACCCGTCCCATCTTCAAATCCTCCCCCTTTCCACGTCCTTTTCAACTTGCAATTTCCCGCCAGATATCCCACGCTGCGCTTGCTTTCTTCACAAGCTCAGTATTTCGTTGGTCATACGAAGGCACCTGACAAATGCACGGCACTGGGCGACTGATACGGAGGTGTCATCAGGTTCTCTGGCAGGGTCGCAGGCTCATGTTCTGTGGCAAGGTTGCAGGCTTGGCAAGGACCAGAACCCCCTTTGAAACCCTCCTATGGCATTGGCCAGTGCATGGCTGAACCTGTGTCAGAGGAATGCCCAAGGCCCCATGGGCTACCTTTGGAACCCGGCAGTCTTGGCACATCAGCCTAAGAGCTTCATGGTGGATGTGATAGCGCAAGTGGCGCATCGGGCGCATCCTCTCTGATGCTCGCTGTGCCGGCCTGCACGTGAAATACGAGCTGCTGCGCTTGTTTCGGTGCAAGGCGGATTATCATACCGTGGGGAAGGAAAAATATGCTGAAAATGCCTAAGAATACTGAGGCAGTCTTTTTCAGCACCAAGATCACGGAAAATATTGCCTTTTCTTCTCCCAATGCAAAAGCGCTGCTCCAAAAACTTGTGGCAACCGGACCAAATTGGAAATTGAGAGGTTTATATCATCAAACTTCTTTGTCTTGTAAGAACATGGGTCAACCTTGATGATTCACTGCGGATTGTTTTTCTTCGGTAGAAAACACAAAGCCTAGACAAAATAACAACAAAGGGAGTTTCTCGTGCAGAAGTGCAGCAGGGTGTAGAAGAGTGTGCAGCGCTAATTGCTGCCACAGCTCTCTTGCCTTCTGAACCCCAACACGAAATGCTTTCAAACAGCACCAGCCATAGCTGTAAACTTTGCTGCGTTGCGCTTCTCTGCTCATAACTTTCTCTCGGCATGGGCGGCAAAAGCACAAGGATGCTGACTGCAAGAACATGCGCCACACAGCGCAACCGAAGGACAGAGATTCCGCGTTTTGCTGGCAAAACCAGCCAAGAATCTCCCAACCGACGCTTGCCCAAGTCCGACATCAAGAGCTGCACGTTTAGCTTTGGCAAAGCAGCCAGAAGGTGTCCGAGAATTTTGGCACCCCCAAGTCATCCAAAATTAGACCATTTTAGTGTTGAAACCCATGGTTTCGGAGATCCAGTTTAAGAAACCCCCATGTCCCCTGCAAGGGATGGGTCACATCAAGAGCTACACCAGCGATAAGAATTGGAAGCTAACACGCTTTTCGCCGGTTGCAAACCTTTATCCATGGATCCCAAACCTGTCACCAGGCAGGAGTTCTTGTTTGCAAACCCATCCGAGATTTATTGGATAAGGCTGACATCTGATCTGGCGGTCGCATTTAGACTCCGTCCGAAGTCCAGTGTGCCTTGCCAAAGCTCGCTGGTGTCGAAGCGCCACACCCCTCCGTTGCTCTCGCCTGCCTTCAAGCCTGTAAACAGGCAGTGTGCACTTTTGACAGCACTTGTGAAAGCTCTACGAGCCATCGCTTGTTGAATGAACATGCTACATAGCACTAACTGGAAGCCAGAATCTGCGTGAACAATGCAAAATCTTGCCTCAATACTCACTTCACGAATCAATGTGTTCTTCAGTGGAGGACCCAAAGCCAAGAATGACACCAAAGGGAGTTTCTTGTGCAGAAGTGCAGCAGGGTGTAGAAGAGTGTGCAGAGCTAATTGCTGCCACAGCTCTCTTGCCTTCTGAACCACAACACAAAATGCTTTCAAACAGCACCAGCCATAGCTGTAAACTTTGCTGCGTTGCGCTTCTCTGCAATGCACTTCTGTGGGTGTCTCAAAGCATGGCCTTTCGTGCATGATCGGCTTGCAAAGCGTTGCTGGCTTCGGTAGACGCTCAGAGAGCAAGCCTCCTCTGTTCTCGCCTGCTCTCAAGGGGATAGAATGAAAATGGCACGCTATGCATTTTACTGCACCTAAGATGGTTTACTGCCTGACACTCGCTGAAAGACTTACATGCTGTCTTTCTGCCATTGGGCCATTATGTCGGGTATCTTCGAAGAGACGGAAAATCAGCATAGGATTCCTCAAGAAAAGCTACAATCCAACAGAAATGCACTGTACCTATCTGACCTATCTCCTAGCGCTTAGCGAGAGCTTGCCGGCCTCAAGTGATTTTACTCATTTCTCACCCAAAGCACATGGGCACATTGATGGGTGGGTGGCTCTGAGCAATCTTCATGCCATCCAGTGTCTTGTCACATGCAGCCCTCGCCTGTTTCACCAGCCCAGAAACGATTGCCTGTACCTTCTGTAGCACGTCAAGTGCAGCTGCCCATCATCAGGAGTCAGGGATATCTTCTGAACAGTTCGAAAATGTTTTTCTGCACGGTCTGCCCTCTGGAAAGGACCAGAAGTGTATTGTTGCCTGCACTTGCCTTTCAAAGACCATCAACTCGGTGAACTGAACAGACCCTTCAAACAACATTCACTGAAAGCCAAACTCTGCATGAACAATGCAAGACCCCGTACCTGAATATTCATTCCAAGAATCAACAAGGTGTGTGTGTGTGTGGCTATGGACACCTTGATGATTCACTGCCGATTGTTTTTCTTCGGTAGAAAGCACAAAGCCTAGACAAAATAACACCAAAGGGAGTTTCTCGTGCAGAAGTGCAGCAGGGTGTAGAAGAGTGTGTAGCACTAATTGCTGCCACAGCTCTCTTGCCTTCTGAACCCCAACACAAAATGCTTTCAAACAGCACCAGCCATAGCTGTAAACTTTGCTGCGTTGCGCTTCTCTGCAATGCACTTCTATGGGCGTCTGCAAAACCTGGCCTTTCGTGCATGATCAGCTTGCAAAGTGCAGCTGGCTTCGGTAGACCTCTGTTCTCGCCTGCTCTCAAGGGCATAGAATGAAAATGGCACGCTATGCATTTTACTGCACCTAAGATGGTTTACTGCCTGACACTCGCTGAAAGACTTACATGCTGTCTTTCTGCCATTGGGCCATTATGTCGGGTATCTTCGAAGAGACGGAAAATCAGCATAGGATTCCTCAAGAAAAGCTACAATCCAACAGAAATGCACTGTACCTATCTGACCTATCTCCTAGCGCTTAGAGAGAGCTTGCCGGCCTCAAGTGATTTTGCTCATTTCTCACCCAAAGCACATGGGCACATTGATGGGTGGGTGGCTCTGAGCAATCTTCATGCCATCCAGTGTCTTGTCACGCAGCCCTCGCCTGTTTCACCAGCCCAGAAACGATTGCCTGTGCCTTCTGTAGCACGTCAATGGCAGGTGCCCATCACGAGCCAGGAATATCTGGAGTTCAATCATGTTGGTTGGGCAAGTTCTGCCCTCACGGAAGAGGCAAAAGTGTATTGTTGCCGGCACTTGCCGCTCAAGGATTATCAAGTCGGCGAAGCGAGACTCTTCACATAGCACTGACTGGAAGCCAGAATCTGCGTGAACAGTGCAAGATCTTGCCTCAATACTCGCTTCACGAATCAATGTGTTCTTCAGTGGAGGACCCAAAGCCAAGAATGACACCAAAGGGAGTTTCTTGTGCAGAAGTGCAGCAGGGTGTAGAAGAATGTGCAGAGCTAATTGCTGCCACAGCTCTCTTGCCTTCTGAACCACAACACAAAATGCTTTCAAACAGCACCAGCCATAGCTGTAAACTTTGCTGCGTTGCGCTTCTCTGCAATGCACTTCTGTGGGTGTCTCAAAGCATGGCCTTTCGTGCATGATCGGCTTGCAAAGCGTTGCTGGCTTCGGTAGACGCTCAGAGAGCAAGCCTCCTCTGTTCTCGCCTGCTCTCAAGGGGATAGAATGAAAATGGCACGCTATGCATTTTACTGCACCTAAGATGGTTTACTGCCTGACACTCGCTGAAAGACTTACATGCTGTCTTTCTGCCATTGGGCCAATATGTCGGGTATCTTCGAAGAGACGGAAAATCAGCATAGGATTCCTCAAGAAAAGCTACAATCCAACAGAAATGCACTGTACCTATCTGACCTATCTCCTAGCGCTTAGCGAGAGCTTGCCGGCCTCAAGTGATTTTATTCATTTCTCACCCAAAGCACATGGGCACATTGATGGGTGGGTGGCTCTGAGCAATCTTCATGCCATCCAGTGTCTTGTCACGCAGCCCTCGCCTGTTTCACCAGCCCAGAAACGATTGCCTGTGCCTTCTGTAGCACGTCAATGGCAGGTGCCCATCACGAGCCAGGAATATCTGGAGTTCAATCATGTTGGTTGGGCAAGTTCTACCCTCTGGGTAGAGGCAAAAGTGTATTGTTGCCGGCACTTGCCGCTCAAGGATTATCAAGTCGGCGAAGCGAGACTCTTCACATAGCACTGACTGGAAGCCAGAATCTGCGTGAACAGTGCAAGATCTTGCCTCAATACTCGCTTCACGAATCAATGTGTTCTTCAGTGGAGGACCCAAAGCCAAGAATGACACCAAAGGGAGTTTCTTGTGCAGAAGTGCAGCAGGGTGTAGAAGAGTGTGCAGCGCTAATTGCTGCCACAGCTCTCTTGCCTTCTGAACCCAACACAAAATGCTTTCAAACAGCACCAGCCATAGCTGTAAACTTTGCTACGTTGCGCTTCTCTGCAATGCACTTCTGTGGGTGTCTCAAAGCAGGGCCTTTCGTGCATGATCGCCTTGCAAAGTGTTGCTGGCTTCGGTAGATGCTCAGAGAGCGAGCCTCGTCTGTTCTCGCCTGCTCTCAAGGGCATAGAATGAAAATGGCACGCTATGCATTTTACTGCACCTAAGATGGTTTACTGCCTGACACTCGCTGAAAGACTTACATGCTGTCTTTCTGCCATTGGGCCAATATGTCGGGTATCTTCGAAGAGACGGAAAAACAGCATAGGATTCCTCAAGAAAAGCTACAATCCAACAGAAATGCACTGTACCTATCTGACCTATCTCCTAGCGCTTAGCGAGAGCTTGCCGGCCTCACGTGTTTTTACTTATTTCTCACCCAAAGCACATGGGCACATTGATGGGTGGGTGGCTCTGAGCAATCTTCATGCCATCCAGTGTCTTGTCACGCAGCCCTCGCCTGCTTCACCAGCCCAGATATGATTGCCTGTGCCTTCTGTAGCACGTCAATGGCAGGTGCCCATCACGAGCCAGGAATATCTGCAGTTCAATCATGTTGGTTGGGCAAGTTCTGCCCTCACGGAAGAGGCAAAAGTGTATTGTTGCCGGCACTTGCCGCTCAAGGATTATCAAGTCGGCGAAGCGAGACTCTTCACATAGCACTGACTGGAAGCCAGAATCTGCGTGAACAGTGCAAGATCTTGCCTCAATACTCGCTTCACGAATCAATGTGTTCTTCAGTGGAGGACCCAAAGCCAAGAATGACACCAAAGGGAGTTTCTTGTGCAGAAGTGCAGCAGGGTGTAGAAGAGTGTGCAGCGCTAATTGCTGCCACAGCTCTCTTGGCTTCTGAACCCCAACACAAAATGCTTCCAAACAGCACCAGCCATAGATGTAAACTTTGCTGCGTTGCGCTTCTCAGCAATGCACTTCCGTGGGTGTCTGCAAAACATAGCCTTTCGTGCATGATCGGCTTGCAAAGCGCTGCTGGCTTCGGTAGACCTCTGTTCTCGCCTGCTCTTAAGGGCATAGAATGAAAATGGCACGCTACGCATTTTACTGCATCTGCGATGGTTTGTCTTTCTGCCATCGGGCCAATATGTCGGGTATCTTCGAAGAGACGGAAAAACAGCATAGGATTCCTCAAGAAAAGCTACAATCCAACAGAAATGCACTGTACCTATCTGACCTATCTCCTAGCGCTTAGCGAGAGCTTGCCGGCCTCAAGTGTTTTTGCTCATTTCTCACCCAAAGCACATGGGCACATTGATGGGTGGCTGGCTCTGAGCAATCTTCATGCCATCCAGTGTCTTGTCACGCAGCCCTCGCCTATTTTACCAGCCCCAGTACGTGTCCTGTAGATTGGCACAAAGCTTGAGGCGTGCTCGTTGAAGCAAAGCAGCTCTGGGTGGCACAATCGGCTTTGAAAATCAATTTTCAGGGCGCCGGGTTAGCATCGCTGAACATCCACTATCATCAGCTGCTGGCACGTCGAACACTACAATAGCAAAAATCTTGGGGGCGTATGGGTTCAGGAATATACTGTTTTGGTGGCAACTGTTCGAAGGACCCACGTGAAGACTCTTCCTCAGTATTCGCCGGAGGTACAGCGGCTCTTCTTGGCGTGGCTTCCAGAGGAAGAAACGCCACTTCATGGAGGCATCTGAAGGTCTTCGGAATTCACAGAAGGGCGAAGTAGCATGGCTTGAACATAAGGGCTATGCTTACGCTGAAGTGGAAGTAGACATCTCCAAGCGGCTTTAGTAGGTGATGTCCGCCTGAGATTCTAGTTGATCCATTGTTGCTCCAGGAGAGTTGGCAAAGCCATTTGCTTCTGGGAGGAGACTGCGCTGGTCCCTCACCGGTTTCTGCCAAAGTTGCACAGCAAAATGAATCAATCCGATGACTTGGTGACATGGACTTGCCATTCGACCAACTAATGAAACTGCAGAATTCTCATGTTCTTGTGTCACCACTGGTCTCCGCCTTTATTTTGCTCTTAGTCCTCCTACCCCCTCTCCGTGGCAAGATTGTTCCACTTTAATTTCAGCAAGGGCCCGATTTTGTCGGATGGTCCTTCACTGAGCGACTCGTGGCAAGCTGAGAGGCTGGGAAATCACCTTTTTCACTGGAGGCTTGGAGCTGGGAAAATCATCAAAGGGTTGGTAAAACAACAATAAAACCGCGATTTGGGAATGGTTTATACTATATGCATCTATATACCACCTAGTTATGGTGATTAGATGTGATTAGGGGATGGTTTATCATTGTTTTATCCACATTATAAAGGGTGGATGTTCCAGCCCTCGTTTGAACCGGACTCAGGTGGACATCAATCAGACCACTGCCAACCTACGGCGCCGGAGGGACACAACAGACCGGGCAAGGGCTGGAATTGCATCGCCGGGCTCAGCCGAATGTTGAGACTAGCCATGGTCAGTCAAGGCAAGTCGTGGAAGGGGGGGCCTCAGGTCCGTCCAGCGCCGTGAAAATCGAAACCGGAAACTGCAAAAGCCCACTGTGACAGTGACACCCACCTTATGATGACCTTATGCCAGCTTGGGGCTTTTGCTTACGGCTCTTATGCCAGGGCTCTGCAAATGAAAAGGAAGGTACTTCTGTCTCTCAAATGACTCCAGTGTTCATTGTTAAAGCCTTGAAATGCCAAGCTTGTGGCGGTCGTGAAGTGTTTGATGAAGTCATCTTGAAATAAAGAGATCAAAACAAGTTCCAAGCAAACCAGTGTCAAGGGCATTTCTATCACTCGCAAGATTTCA